CCCAGAAGATGGTCTATTAAACTCACTCGCCAAAGACCCCTTTATAGATTTGGAAATAGACCCTTTCTTTCCTTAACGGCTGGCCACACATGTACCAAGTAGCTCACAGTGTGAAAAGCACTACAAATAAACCGCCTTTTGTTCATCTTACTCTCATTTGTAACCGCCACTCTGTTCAGAAACCGTTCACAGCGTCTCTCTGACCTTTGCTAAGAGTACACAACACCGTGCAAAAGGCTGATGTTGAAATCTATAAATGACATGCGGTCGAGGTTTTGTTCCATTCAACAAAACACAACTCTAAAATGACTTAGCTCAACTGAGCAGCGCGGCAGACTTCAGGGACATGCTGAGGTAACAATCTGTTGTTCTGAGTGATTTGGTTTGAAAGCCTGAATGAACCCAGGACCCAACGCTGTGAGATTATCAGCCTCCACACATCCTGTCCATTCACTCAGCAGTACAGTATGATGAGTGCCTTCACTGAGTCATAGGGTTAAACATTGCATAAGGGCTTCATGTTATCACTTCTGAATGGTGCAAAACATCAAAATGGAAGACAGAGCTAGCACCTTGTAAGCTTTTGGGATTCTTTAATACATAATTTCTGCCTTTGTGGTTGACCAGTAGCTGCTGTCGAAAAATTATTATCAGAAACACGAGACATTCATTGACAGAAAAATGGCTGATGAACAACTGACACACATGCAGTGTTCGTGCAATGGTTGATAGGAACCTTCCTGTCATGTAGCATCCATGCTAACAACAGTCCCTCCTCAGGAGCTCTTGTGAAAGACCTCGTTGACCAGTCGGTGGTCCGCAGTGTGGAAAGGAAGCAAAGGTGTGAATTTTAATGTGCACCAGTTCATAAATCTATCGTCTAATGCCCAACTAGCACTTCTGGACTGATTGGTTCTACTTTTTAGTGAACTTTGTACACCTTTAGCATCATTTTCCAATCTGAAAGGTACACCGAAACGACGGTTTATATCGTAAATGTAAACAAAACTACTTGATTAGCTTTAGGGAATACTCATGTTTTGGGTAAAATAAGTACTTTTGTAATGTAGTTTAAGGTACGTACGAAAATTAAGCATGTTATATGTGATGCAAGTTAACTTACGTACACTATAAGGTTATTTTGGCTTTCTCTCAACGTCTGCCTGAACCTGAAAGGCTGGAGAACAGAGGACGCATCGCACAACTCAACTCCTTTCGGCGACTGTGGCTGCGAGGGAGTGCGGTCGTCTTTCAACGAGAAGGTTGTGGGTTCGATCCCAACCCGTGCAGCCAACATGTCGATGTATTCTTGGGCAAGACACTTAACCCTGAGTTGCTCCCGATGGCCAACGGTGTGTGAATGTTAGCTCCTAGAGTAAGGTACACTGCTCTGTATGAATGGGTGAATGACATGTAGTATGTAAAGCGCTTTGAGGGGTCGTAAAGACTGGATAAAGCGCCATATAAGTACAGTCCATTTACCATTTACCTTTCCTTGTCTTAATTTAAGTCTTGTTAACAGTTCTTGAATTAAGTAGACGATTCAATTCTTGGAAGGTTATTTAGTTGAAAACCAAACGCATCTCCGAGGCCTCACACACGCCGATGCCATCCTCTCCCTGTAGAGATAATGTGTAGTATATATATATATATATATATATATATATATATATATATATGTATTGATCCCCTTTTTCTTTTACAAACTCTTGCTTTAATCTATTTTGTTTACATACTTGATTGTATTTCATTTTATGTTAACCCTAAAAGGAGCAACTGTCCCAAAACCCTCTTTCCCCCGGGATAAAGTGTTCTGATTCTGATCTGAGATATTATGATAAGGTGTTTACTCTCCGCTGCAGTGAGATGTATTGGGAATCAGAGTTGACTACAAACACCAACATGCATGACGTTATGGACATAAAGAGGCAGATGTAGATGTTTGATATCGAGCATTTCTATAAACCTGAGAGGTCAGAGTGCTTCTGCTGCTTCTTCTGCTCTGATACGAATCACGATCAGCAGGGTTTTAAAACAAAAAGACTCTTCATCATGTTCACTCAAAATGTTCTGCATCAGGAGGCTGGAGTTTCCAAACTTCTGACAAAAGCCTTTTCATGAGTTCATGTGACTTTTGACAGAAATAAATCCTCTTAATTTCACAAAAAAACCAGAGCATTAAAAGCACATGGTCCTTTTTGTTAATCCATTTCTTTGTTTGTGTTTTAATTAATTAATTAATTAATATTGAGTGAAAATAATAACTCCTGGACAGAAATACGCATTTTGGACGAGGCACAATAACTGCACTCGGCGCTAAGTACATTAGCATGCATCGCTAAAAATAAAAGCAGATTAGCAGCAAATGACACATTAGTACCTGAGCAGCCAGGAATAACCACAGTGGATTCAAATGTACTTAGAAAACCTGTTTAGCCCTGAGCCTGTTTTTCAGGTCTCAGGCTCGAAAATGACATTCCCAGAACAAATGACCATAACTTCACTTCTAAAAGGGTTAAATTAATAATCTTTTTTCTCAAAGTAATGATAAACCTGTGAGTTAGATACAGAAAAGTCAGAATCAATACAGATGTTTTTATTTTAAAGTAAATTCAGATTGATTTTTTTTTTTTTTACTTACATTACTTATAGTGAAAACTACCCTTGAATGATGCGATAGTAGACTAAAAGCTTTAGGAATCCAAACTATAACATATAATAAGTACCCTGTATCAAGATTGATGCAAAACAAGTGAAATGTGACCTTTTTAGAGAGATTTAGCAAATAAAAAACACTTCTGGGGTCATTTGGGTGGAAATGGGTGTATTTTCCGTTTCTCTGGAACCCATTGGTCGATTTTGATGATTGACATCTCTTTTGAACCGTTAGAGCCAATAGAATCGAAGGGGAATTTCCACATACACACACGTTACCATTGCGCACGCAGTTTGCCCAAAGCGAAACCTATTTTACGCTCTGAAATCTGAAAACTAGGTTTATTGCTGATGGATTATCAGAAATCATTTCAAAGGGACACAGACACATTGGATTAACCTATGGATTAACTTCAGCAGCGTTTTTATCGTTTTCATGCCATTGAAGACAACTTTTGATCAGAAAACAACAAAGGTAAAACATATTGCCGCGTTGGCTACCTAATGCTACGTGGTGTGATGTCTTTGTTAGCTTCTCATGTCGCGAGTTCGGATCGGTCAGTAATTATACTAATACTTGTAGAATCTGTGCAATCACAGCTTGCTAATCGATATCTTATAAGTAATAAGGGTATTTTAATGTGAGTTCTGTGCTAAGTGTGTTAGCATTTTTTCGCTCAGGGCTAATTCAGAGCCTTTGTTATTACCCTTATGTTTTGTTTTGCTAACAATTGTTAATATTTTCTGATAGGTGAGTTTCTTCCCGTTAAGTGGGTATGACACATTAATATGTTTTTAAATGTTAAGAAGCCCTCAGACGCTGTTTCTTGCAGATGTTGAGATGTTGAGGATTGGGGCTTAACAGGTTGACCATTCAAACGAATAAAATGACTTATTAAAAGTTGTTTTCTGAAATATATAATGACTGAATGAACCTCAGACTGAATTGTTTCTTAGATGAGACGGACGAATGCACTTTTGTGGCTCAACGAGAAACTGTAGATTCATGTTTTTAGTTATTATTAAATTGTGAATGCTAATAAATACAAATGTGTTGTGAAGGTACTGTAATGTTTCTCAGTTTTCTTTTAACTCTGGTGCAATATGCTCACGCTACAAACATAAAATAATAATGATAAATATGAAGAAGTGAACGGATCAAATTGAAAATGGCATAAATCATGACCTCTGATTATAAAAATGTAATTACCGCGTCCTAAATCAGATGGATTTTGGTTAACTGAGGTGCTATTTCCTTCTCATTTGAAGTGTTTATCCAATTGGAAAAGCATAAGTGCTCAAAGTTCAGCCGTACAAAGAAAGCAGATCATCCGTTTGTATTCTTTCACACACAGTGACGTCACGAGCTACCCACAATGCAACGCGCACCATATATATATAAATACGCCATTTTCCTGGAGGTGCAAATATCCTGGAGGTGCAAATATAAACAGCTAGCTAACGTAGCCAGGCAGAGCGCACTAGGTTTTCTTTCTGAATTAACGACCGAAGAAATCGCTGCATGTCTTCGGATCACATCTCTGGACTTGAGGGGTGTGCTCGAGGTCGTTACCAGCGTAAACTAGAGCTGTGTGGGTTGTCGGATTGCCCTTACAGACTGCCTGCAGATGTATGGAAAAAACGACCCTCGAAAGTGGCCTTCGGTCGATTTTGGCTGCATCTACGTCTATCTTCTGGAAACACCAGGTGAATACCCCACTTGTCACAATAATATTATCATGCCATTGCATATATGTGGTATTTTAGAGTTGACTAGATATTGATTAAGGCAATAGACTATGATATTCAGTACAGGAAGCTTAGCAACACCTAGACGGTGTACGGCTAAACCCTCGGCCTGCTTGCACCTCGCGTAAAATGGCGGATACCGGAAGTACGGTGTCGCCCTCGGCCCAATACCCGTATGTGTGTGTGAAAGAATTTGGATGTAATCAATGCTGCAAAAAGTGAAACACACTCCTGCTGAGGAGAAGAGTGGAAGTGAGTGTGTGAGCCAAAACACGACAGTCAGAGCAGAAAGTGTCTCAAAGAGATGCAAATATCCAATAAGTCATTAAGAGAAGGCGTAGTGAATAATACGTGATTATCAAGCAGTATACGGCAGGCACTGCGTTTAAAACTCTGTGTAGATGGAGATTTGTATATAATTAATTACGCATGTTTAATGTTTCAAAGTAAGCCTGCGTGGTAATTATCAGGCCAGAAAAATCATACTTTATTCCAATAATTCTTGAGTTTGGACCAGAAATGAGTAAAATAAGCTGTCTTTAAAATATCTTAACCGGCTGTGTGAACGAAGAGCAAGTCAATAAAACACATTTTTCTTCAATTTTGGTTCATTCTGATATTCAGAAACACGTCTTTTAATCATTTTTAAAAATACACTCTTACCCAACCTTTCACTAAATCTTTTCTCCCTTTAATACTTAATATTTCAAACATACTCCGTTTTTTATTTTTCAATACATCCAACATTTGTGATGGTTTTGGCAACATGCAAATACTCATTTGTTTCATTCAAGATGCATAGATGATGGTGAACAGAGAACATACAAAATAAAAACACCATGTGTTTTCTTTACAGTATCTTTTTGTATTGCACACATCAATATGTTGTGTGTATGTCAGTGTGTAGTGGAGTGTGACTGACTCATTAATAACACACACTATTGATAAGCCATTTGTCAGAAGACCGCAGATAAACACCATCAAATTAAAAAGCGTTTGACGTTAATGTTAAACGACTAAAAGCTGTGAACAAAACGCAGCTCACAGTGAGTTCAAGCTGCCCCGTTAGACTTACTGTATCCTGTATAAAGTCCTAAACACACAGTGTCAGAGTGCCCCCTGGTGGTCAAACGATGAAATGTCCTCTGATGCAACAGGTGTGTAAAACATCCCACATGTGTATTAATGTTCATTTAACCTTATTTTTTTCAGAGTTAATTCTGTGACACAGCGTTCCCTCGAGCCTCAGCGATGATTTCCTCCCCAGATCTGTCACTAAGAGGAAGTCAATCGCCGGGGATTCTGGGTAATGGAGTTCCTCAGTGTGTGTAAAACATCCAACATGTGTATGAATGTTGATTTGGCTTTCACCCTTATTTATTTTTTGTTTCTTCAGCGTGACAGCGTTCCCTCGAGGCTCAGCGATGATTTGTCCCCAGATCTGTCACTATAACGAGGAAGTAAACTGCTGGGGATTCTGGGTAATGGAGTTCCTAACGTGTGTAAAACATCCCACATGTGTATTAATGTTGATTTGGCTCTTTCACCCTTATTTGTTTTGTTACTTCAGCGTGACAGCGTTCCCTCGAGCCCCAACGACGATTTCGTCCCCAGATCTGTCACTATAACGAGGAAGTAAACTGCTGGGGATTCTGGGTAATGGAGTTCCTCATTGCCTCCTGCTGTTCAGGATGGCCCTCCAGTCGTCAGCCCATGAGAGGAGTCTCTTCTGGGGGGGGCTGAGGTGCTTGTTGTGGCAGGCGGTGAACAGGATGTGCTCCCACGTGGGTTCTGGATCCACACCTGACAGGAGACACGTTAGGTGAGTAGATGAGTAACTGACACACACACACACACACACACACACACACACACACACACACACACACACACACACACACACACACACACACACACACACACACACACACACACACACACACACACACACACACACACACACACACACACACACACACACACACACACACACACACACACACACACACACACACACACACACACACACACACACACACACACACACACACACACACACACACACACACACACACACACACACACACACACACCCACCCACACGTTTTTACGCGTGATTATTTTATCTCACTGTAAACTCCTCGCAGCAGATTCTGACTAACGCTGAAGCAGCTGCCTGATAACGTGCCGATGAGGATGTGAGGAGGATGGTGTAAATAGTCAAAACCCCCACATGCCGAAACACGAGCGGGAGAATAACAAATAAAATCCTCTGCCTTCACCTTAATTGAATCCTTATTTTAATAATAATAATATCCTTTTTCATTATTTTATCACTCTACTTTTTTGCTTGTCAAGTATAATTTAAAAGAGCCAAACTATTTAGACACTATATGTCTTCCCTAGTGTTGATATTTATATATTAAATGTTTTATTTGTATTTATAATACGTCTAACTCATGTGTAATGCATTTTAACATGCTGCTGTGACAACACAAATATAAAAAAATGGGATAAGTAAAGTTTGGCCAATTTAATCTGATTTAAACTCAGCCATTATTAATATATCTTTTTGCTAAAACCTCTCCTGTAAAAGCAGAAGAAAGCTGATTTAGTAAACAAATACAAGACATGTGATCTGATGACACACATGACTTAAATTAGGGGATTTTTTTAAGCGTTATGACGTCGTAAAAAATGACAAAAGACAATTCAAGATTTGTTAAAAACTCTAATAAGAAGCTTCATACGTTCAAAAACAGATATTGGGTTTAGCACTAAGTTCAATGGAAAAAGTGAATTTGTCTGGTTGTTAATTAACACAATTTTAAATAAGTGTTTTGTTTATATAACGGGATATCATCTCACATGTGCTCTCAAACAAACACGCGTACTGTACTCACTAGGATTGGGTATCATTTGGATTTTGACGAGTTCGGTTTTTAACGGTTTCCTGATTTTGATCGAAAACAGGTCACATGCTTATTTCACAGAAACATAAACGTATTTCTGAAAACCTTTCCTCAAATGTATAATGAAATTGACCTCATAAAGTGAATATAACTTGTAAATATAATGCATACAGTAAATAAAATCCTGACCTGTGCATTATTTTTTCATTTTCAGGTTAATTCCGGTGCAGTTTGAGATGTTAAAATGTCCCCCCGGTCTCCCCTATTTAACACATGGTGTCTAGATATACAATAACAATCCATCTACAATGTTCTACATCCTATAATCTTATTTTCCTTTTATACAAATGTCAGTTCCCAAACCCGCTGTCCTCACCTAGGATATCGGGCTTGTCGTCGATCAGGATGTCTCCGCTGATCACCGTCTTGTCTCGTGTCAGAATGACCTGCTCCAGAAAGCCCTGACCCAAGTGCTGCTCCACCCAGGCATACTGCACACACACACACACACACACACACACACACACACACACACACACACACACACACACACACACACACACACACACACACACACACACACACACACACACACACACACACACACACACACACACACACACACACACACACACACACACACACACACACACACACACACACACACACACACACACACACACCCACACACACCACACACACACCACACCACGAGATGTCATTAAGTAAAAAGGAACTCATTTTAAGCAAACAGAATATGTTGTTTTGCACACGGCTCACTCACCTTCTCATAGGGACAGTGTTGGATGTGGTTTATAGGGCTGGTGCAAATAAAGACATCTGTGCTGCAGAGAGGAGACATTAAAGGAACATTTTAGAAACTGTTTACACATGACAGTGGAAGCAATAGTTATTCTGGGGACAGTGGAAACACATCGATTCAGACACATTCATTTCCATCAGCAGAGGAACAGTTCATCGCTACAGTACGAGGGTTATTTTTAGAGCGCTGTGTTGTGTGTTCTCTGAGAAAAGGCCATCACAGCCTCCTCCACGTTGACTCACTTTACACTTAAATGAATCAAAGAGGCCATGATCGGATCAACTGAAGCACTAACAGGGCGTTGTGGAGCAGGAGTTGGGGTCATGACTCCCTGTAGAGGGTTTTCAGAGGCTGGAGCTACTCATATTTGACATTTACCGTCCAGGGTTCACACACTTTTTCACCAATGAATGATTTCCAATGACTTCTCCAGGACCTTTACCTAATTTTCCACGACCAAAAACATTACTCTTTCTCAGCGGTACCACTGAAACATTTTTATTTTAACATGGAACAGGAAAATAAGGTCTGCATATGAAACATCTAAAACAAATCAAATAGTAGGCTTACTAGCTCCTACAGGCTAAAGCAACTAAAATCTCTCACCAGCAAAACACCTCGTCAGTTAAATGCCATTTTACATTTCATTACTATATGATACAGTATTTATTATCATTATAGTGTTACTATTTTGGCGATTAGATAAAATATAAATTATATTTGATGCAACTTTAGTTACATTTCCATGACTTTTCCAGGACCTGGAATTTGCATTTTGAATTTCCATGACTTTTCCAGGTTTTGAATGACCGTAGGAACCCTGACTGTCTTTTTAGTAAGGCAAAATATGTGAAGATATATGAATGAAGTATATTGTGGAGCTGCAGAGAAGACCCGGACCTCAAACTGGATTCTACAGGAAAATAAATCCTCTTTTTAATATAGCTTTTAATGATAATGTGGATAATGTGAAAAAAGGGATAATTCTCTCTAATATCGTGAAACATATTGCATTTTAAAATCTGGCAAATATTTACAATTAGTTATTTTTTCTAAATAGTGCAGCGCTATCTACATCAATAACTCAGGATAGACATAGAAACATAATATGTGGTGATAATTATCAACAAGAAATTACATATTGGTAAATTAAAAGTATAAACTGTGGCGCATTTCCACTGCAGGGCCTAGCTCGGCTTAGTACGGTATAGTTAGGCCTGACTCCCTTTAAGCTGCGTTTCCATTACAGTTCAGTAGCTGGGGCAGTAACTATAGTAACGCAGTGTAGGCGGAGCCGTGACATCATCTTCAATGCGAACCACAAAACCAACATCAGCCGTTAGCTGTTAGCACTCAGAGCTCACAGCTCCTCATATCTGTTCAGAAACTGGACAAAAGTGAAACAAGTACAAACCACAGACTGCCTGTGTCATGGCGAATACAGTCTCTGGTTTATTTATGTCTGTAGGCCGTTGTTGTGAGTGTGGACGGTCGGAGCATATATAACGTTAGCTTAGCCAATCTACATTTAGAAAACACGCATTTTAAAAGGTGTTTCTCTGCCGTCTGTCTGCAGACTTGTCAAAGCATTAATTCTTGGTTTTACTAACCGGTATCAGTATGTTGTTACTTCGGCATCATTTAGAAACGTATTACAATTAAATCACGGTCAAATATGTTCATTTTCTTGTAGTTGCCAGCGATTCTCTCACTAGTTTAGCATATTCAGCCCGGTTGTTGGCCCGGAAAGAACCTCGATTTTGGAGAGCCAGAGAATATTATATATATTTCATTTTGTGTTGACATCTTTCCCGTTCAACAAAGACAATGCTTTTGGACTTAAGGCATACTATAAGTTATGTTTCTTTGTTTTGTTATATTTGTAATATATGTAAAACATGATAAATATCAATAAGTCAATACATATATAAAAATTCATATATTTTTTAAACAATTGACAGTAGAATTACCTTTGCAAATCACATGGTAGTACAAAATGTACCCATTCTTTCGTATTAAATGAATACTTCTTTTCATTGACTTTAAGTACTACATAACTACATAACGACACCTACTTCTCCATCTGGGCCATCTCCCGGACCGCCTCCAGCCCCCCCGGCAGCGGCTCCAGCTCCATGAAGAAATCCTTGGACTCCCAGATACTGATGGCTTTCTCCTGCAGTAAAAACACCACAATCTCAGTCAGTGATAAGCTGGACGTACAGAATGTTTCCACGTGAGGGACATGTGACAGAAGATTGTTGAAAAGCTATTTCTATAGGTCAGCGAGACACTTCAATAAATAGAGAAGCGGCTAAAGCTCCACTGAAGGGTTCAATAATGACACATCTGAGAAACAGGCTGGTGTTCGATTCACGCTTTTGTAAAATGTGTTATCTCTTTAAAATGTAGGTGCGATCCTTGTATTCAGGGGTGTTTGTAGAAAGATATACTATGAGCTGATACTGTGGCGCTGATCTTGTTGATATATTGTTGATATTGATATAAGATATATCAATTCTGATCATCTTGTAAATGTGTGGAAGGTCATTCATGGTCGGCAAGCTTTGACCATACCCTTTAACATGCAGGGTTAAATATTACTTAACTGTGTGGGAACCGGTATAGACTGGATTAACGTCTAACCTCGTGCAGAATTAGATTGAATACTACAGTGTAAAAATACTTTGTGACAAGTCAAAAGTCCTGCATACAAAAAATATGACTTGAGTAAAAGTACTAAAAGTATTGGCATAAAAATGTACTGAAATTACTTTATAATTAAGTATAAAGAAGCATACACTACGCTTGTATTAGCTAGCGCTCCAACCCATTGTACTGATATATCTAACCGGTTGACTAATCAGAGCAGACTGGGCTCTGGTTTCAGACAGAGGGTGACAAGAGGTGCTGCAGCACAGTATGAGAACAATAAAGAGCTTTTTGAACATTAAAGCATGGAGACATGAAGAGACACTACATACTGATATACACCTGAACATCAGCAGGAGAGGACTCTTTAAAGTAGAGACACTACATACTGATATACACCTGAACATCAGCAGGAGAGGACTCTTTAAAGTAGAGACACTACATACTGATATACACCTGAACATCAGCAGGAGAGGACTCTTTAAAGTAGAAACACTACATACTGATATACACCTGAACATCAGCAGGAGAGGACTCTTTAAAGTAGAGACACTACATACTGATATACACCTGAACATCAGCAGGAGAGGACTCTTTAAAGTAGAGACACTACATACTGATATACACCTGAACATCAGCAGGAGAGGACTCTTTAAAGTAGAGACACTACATACTGATATACACCTGAACATCAGCAGGAGAGGACTCTTTAAAGTAGAGACACTACATACTGATATACACCTGAACATCAGCAGGAGAGGACTCTTTAAAGTAGAGACACTACATACTGATATACACCTGAACATCAGCAGGAGAGGACTCTTTAAAGTAGAGACACTACATACTGATATACACCTGAACATCAGCAGGAGAGGACTCTTTAAAGTAGAGACACTACATACGGATATACACCTGAACATCAGCAGGAGAGGACTCTTTAAAGTAGAGACACTACATACTGATATACACCTGAACATCAGCAGGAGAGGACTCTTTAAAGTAGAGACACTATATACTGATATACACCTGAACATCAGCAGGAGAGGACTCTTTAAAGTAGAGACACTACATACTGATATACACCTGAACATCAGCAGGAGAGGACTCTTTAAAGTAGAGACACTACATACTGATATACACCTGAACATCAGCAGGAGAGGACTCTTTAAAGTAGAGACACTACATACTGATATACACCTGAACATCAGCAGGAGAGGACTCTTTAAAGTAGAGTAATTGAGTAATGTACACGCAGCTGCCATGTTTGATTCTAATAGTATGCTAATTGTATATATTCTGGTTTTAAAAACTCTGATGAAATTACATATGTTACTGGGGACCCTGGGGAACAAATTCAAGTGCATTTGGCTAATGAAAGTGCTGTAAATGTGAGTTTATTCAACCTAAACATGACAGTTATGTTTACATGCCACTTACACACAGATCACTCCGCAGCTGGCCGTACTGTGTGGACACCCAGAAGCCTCTCCTGTCCTGCAGGCTGATGAAAGGATCCTCCGGGTATTTGGCCCGGTATTTCTTCAGAAACCCGCCTTCAAAGTCGGCCAGAACCCCGTCCATGTCCACCAGAACCCGGAGCCTCTTACCGGAGGACATGTTGACGGAAATCCTTCTAACCGGATCACGGAGTAACGTTTTTCCTCTTCCGAGTAGGCGGGTGGTAGAAAGTAGTAACATGTCAACGAGGAGAAATACGTGGAATAAGTTACATAAGTGTTCACCACGTGGTTGTGTTGTTATATGTCTTTTGACGATTGTATGTTACGTGCATTTATCTTTGATCATTCTGGGCGTCTCGTTTCTAGCCAGCTAACACAGCAGGCAGCAGTTCAAATATATTTAGTGCCACACACAGTGTAATGGGAGCTGTTTGTTTGTGTATTTACAGCCCAGCAGCGACACATAATAACCTTTCTAAAAACACCCACAGAATGTCAGACATGTAACTGATGGTGCTACCTGAGCAGAAACAAGGAAGACGACAGGAAAAGAACAATCTGTACAAGAAGAGCATCAAAGATATGCGAGGAGGACAAGAGGGTTCACTCCTCTGTTGATAAGTGTCATGCCTGAAGCACAGGTTCAAACCCCACTGCAATCAGCATGTCGTTGGGTCCCTGAGACACTTCACCCCAAATTCCTCCTGTGGGGATTGCCCACAGTATTGATTGAGTATGTAAGTCGCTTTGGATAAAAGCGTCTAACAAGTAACATGTAATGTACACTGTTTATATACTTGTACTTTACTTGAGTATTTCAATGTTATGCTAGTGTGTACTTTTACTCCACTACAGTTCAGAGGTAAATGGTGTACTTTATGTACATACACATTTATGTAAATACTTGTATGTATTTAATACCTTTAGTTATGTTACAGATTTTGATTACAAATGACATATATACATGCCATTTTAAAATTCACCACATTAAATGTTTTATTTCCAATATTTCAGGTGTGTTTCTTCATTTTTCTCATCTTCATTGACTAATTTGCATTTGTCACAATTGTATAACACTGCAACACAGTAATACTATTGTGAGCTATATGTATGATGGTGTAAATACTCAGTAAGAGTTTGTAAAGATAGCAACATTTTAATCAAGTTTGTGACGGTGTTACCTAGTTACCTTTACCTTTTAGCTTTTACCTTTACCTTTACGGTGTTACCTTTATATTGAATGAGAAAATAAATGAAAGTTTTAATCCACCAATTAATATGTGTGCTATTGATGTTGTCCACTTAATTTAGCAGGTATTCTGTTCCTAATATATTGATTTTCAACAGTTACCTATACAATAAAGGTGCTTGAAAACTGCAAGGAGTTGGGACTTTATTTTATCTGCAAGAACAAGAAAACAACAGTGACAGAAAAGGTGATTTTCATGTTTTATTAAGTACAACAACACTTTGTAGTGCAGTCTAGAATATGTGAACGATGCAAGGCCAGTGAGACTGGAGCTCTTACAATTTATAACATCTTTGTTCCATACGCCACCCAAATAAAACGTCAGTTCCTGTATGTTTTTCTCCTTTAAGGAAGCACTTGTGCTGCAGTCTAAATTAAGAAAATGAAGTCCCTTAATCAGTAAAACTATTACAATAAATTACAATTTGCAAAATACAAAATTAAAAATGTGTCAGTTATCATGATTTAACATTTCCCGCAAATCATGTGTGTGGCCCTTTAAGAATCCAACACTTGGTTCGTGAATCTCGTTGCAGTCTGTTCTGTTTCTGTATCATCGCGATAGTTTGACATCCGTCGCATTGAATACAATAATAAATACAATATACAAGGAATATTAAGAATAATATACAATACAGTTAAAACATTTAAATCGAAAATGTGATGGTCAATATCAAGCAGACTCTACAGAGGGAGACCTGTCATATTTGGGACTGTATTTCATCTGCAACAGGAAAAAAACAGAAATATCACCGACAATTTGGTTTTCAGCCATTGTATATTTTAGGCGCTGCAGTCTGGAATAAGAAGGTCCCTTAACCTTTAATAAAATCACAATAAGTTACATGTGCAAGACAAAAAAATAAACAAATATCAAAATAGTGACAAATCGTGTGTCTGGCCCTTTAAGAATCAAAGGCTCGGTTGCTAAATCTCGTTGCAGCCTGTTCTGTTCATGTATCATCGCGATAGTTTGACCTCAGTGGCGGCCCCCTGTCTTCAGTCCGGACGGAGTTGTTTCTGAGGTTTGAATGAAAAACAGTGCAAATTACCCTCGACTTTGGACCCAGGAAATAATGGCTTCAGCCTTGGAGCAGTTTGTGAACAATGTGCGGCAGCTCTCCGCTCAAGGTACGTTTGCTAAAACTAATTTTAATGGGAAGTATTAGGTAGTTAGCTTAGCATAGGCTATCCAATGCCTTGCCGATAGCTTTATCTTTTTGCCATATCATGTAAACACACCGTTAAAATTGACTTGTTCTGAGTGTTAGAGTACTGTAAAGTATCACCATAAGCTGCATTAGTACACAGGAGCGTTATGTCACCCGCGACTTGGTTGTTTATCAAACTAAATATCTTAAATCCTACTTTTTGAGCTAAATAAATAATATCTGAGCACTGCCTACCAGTAGTCCCGCCCTTGCCTCACGTGATTGGCTGTTGGAGGGAATACGCGAATTCTATTGGCTCAAAGGCACCCGTCAATCGCGCATGCTTTGCTTCTTGTTTCAAGGCCTTGACCGGATTTTTATTGAAATACAATGCCACAGCTGGATTCGTGTACATATATTTGTAGTCAGTTTGTTTCATATATTTGCAAAGAATAGCCTATTGATGGAAGAAGACGGTTAAATAGCAATTTTACCACAAATCCCACCATTAAAACAATGAAGAAATGAAGTGTTTCCTCTTCTCATCTTGGTGGATTTATTCATTTAACCTCATTATTTACAATAACTGTGAAAGTGTGGAAGTTATGAATCCATATCTAGTGTACAGTTCAGTTTAATCGTGTTCCCCTCTGACAGATTTATATCTGTAACTGTCAATATGTATATATTGTAATTCTTAGTTCTGTTTTATTATCTACTTTGATATGTGTCTATTTGTGTGTTTGTTTATTTCTACTATTTTCTTACCTTTGACATGATGTGCAATGCCTTGTTTACATGCTGCTGTGACCAAAACATTTCACAAATTGGGATCAATAAAGTATATCTTATCTTGGCTGCCACAGCATGTAATAAGATATGACAATAAATCCCAGAATAACATCCTAGCGGTCAATTCTTTACAAGAAAAGATGCCTAAACAATCTCAAATGTTGATCTGCATCAAGCATTATGATGCAAACTGTTTTGTATATGAGATATGTGTGCTTCCAAAGATCTAAATGGCATGCAAAAGGATTCCAAAGTGATTTAATTTCGCCATGTTTCCCTGCCCTTTCACCTCCAGGCCAGATGACTCAGCTCTGCGAGTTGATCAACAAGAGCGGGGAGCTGCTGGCCAAGAACCTGTCCCACCTGGACACGGTTCTGGGGGCTCTGGACATCCAGGAGCACTCCCTGGGCGTGCTGGCTGTGCTGTAAGTAGCCTCCTTCATCCTAAATCTGTCCAGGATTGACACCGTCAGTGTTAAGAGCTTTTCCTCGGTGTCTTGTGGTGTTTTTTTTAGTTTGTTTCCTGCCACTTCTTATGATTGTCTACACCAGTGTTTCTCAAACCTTTTCATACCAAGGTCACTCACGGACCACCTAACTCCCCAAATATCCCAAAACAATAGGCCTGCTTACCACTCCAACGGTATATAACAAAGTACAGCCTAATAATGACGGCTTAACCTTCTCTACATCGCCTCGTTCACACATTAAATCAACAATACAAATACAACTACAGATTATATAAGCCTTTCGATTTAAAATGCTCTCAGGTTTTACACCTCTTATGAAATGTAGACTACATTTATTACAGAGTTGATGTCCGAGCCAACAGACTCACAGATCGTTGGCTACTGAGAGAAATGCTAAATACGCCGCATGTAGTACGACACAAACCTCCGCTGTGGATTTTCAAAACAAAATCCAGTCAAACTTTGGTCGCTGGCCCAAGTTTAACTTTCTGAGGTCTCTAAGCCGTTCAATCAACAGACTTCATGCTTCATTGGATGCATATATTAGATAATAATCTCTATCTCATTCCTAACATCTACTTCCAGCACGGATAAATGTTCACAAAATACATCCATTGTTTGTTTTATACGCTTCTTGAAATACAAATAAAACACATCGTTTTTCTAGAACGGATTACAAATCGCCTGAAGATGATACAAACAAGTGGCAACATGTGTGACGAAGGTGTGGCGCTGGGCTATATCGTGCAATTTAAAGTGAAAGTTAAGCTCGTTCCATTGCGGAGGTTTTCCAGCGAGAGTGCGGAAAGTTTAATTGTACCAATATACTCATGGACCACTAGGGGGCGCCCACACTTTGAGAACCACTGCTCTACACTCATGACGCTCCGTTATTGTTGTGTCTGTTGAAGGTCATATAGAGTATGTGATGAGTAGACGTGGAGGAGTTCATGAGAACAAAACTTCATTAACATTTTACACAAAACCAATAAAACATCAAGTAATTACTTCTTGAATAAAGAGAGCTATTTCCTAATTCTCAGTGTTATAATGGGCTTGCTTATAGAATAGCAAACCTTGTGTTGACAGGAAGCTACTGCACGTACAATACGTTCTGTAGGCCTGAGATAACTGTCAAAAAGGAAGCGATCATTTCCTGTCATTTAGTGAATCAAAAAAGGCCACATGAGCCTGGATGTATGATTGCACATCACAAAATAAAGTATTTAGGTTTTACTTAATGAAACGGTAAATGTTATCCCTTCTTCATCCTAAAGATTTAAAACTCAAGTGAAGAATGAAATCATTTGACTCTTAGCAACTGGAAATGATCTGACAACCAACCCGTTCCATGTGTCCTTCTCATCCCTAATGTGTTGTCATTAGCTGTTAGTCTCCTTGGTTCCTCGAACGTGTGTCTCACCTCCTTCTCCTTTGATCCAGATTTGTGAAGTTCTCCATGCCAAACATCCCTGACTTTGAGACGCTGTTCTCCCAAGTCCAGCTCTTCATCAGTACCTGCAATGGAGAGCACATTAGATATGCAACAGACACTTGTGAGTACAGACTAACCTTACCTCTCCTTAATCTTTAAGAAGCATGCTGGTGTGCGGATCTAACCCTGAACATGTTGCTCACAGTGCACTCTGCTCAAAGCTGCACTCTTGCCCCTTTCACAGCTGGGCCGGTTCAGAGCTAGAGCCTGAAAAGCACCGGTTTTTCCTGTTCACACCGCAGCGGAGCCGCCTCTAAGCTCCGAAAAAATAATTGTCGTTCTCGAAGCAAGAACCGAGGGGGGCGAGATTAACCTGAGCTAACAGTTTAAGGCGAGTACGGCAAATAACAGTTGTAACAAGCAGTAGTGCTGAGCAAAGTGGCTAGAACGCAACCACACACACACACTTTATAAAGTCAGGCACCACTAACCAGGCTTCGTGTGATTCTGTTATTTGTCCGTTCGCTGTCATTGATCATTGTGGAGAGAGGCAGACGTTTTGTTTCGTGTCATAGCAGCTGTCAGATGGAATCAATACACGGGCTGCACAGGTTCTCGTGTCCGACTATCACAAGTAGAATCATAATGAAAAATACGCCGGTAAAATGTGCCGGCTTATGCCACGATAGGATAGCAACAACAAGTAGTCTGTTATAGTCAGTTTAGCTTCGGTTGCTATGGTAACATCAGCCATTTTATACCAGAGAAACGTTCATAACAGCGTTGTGATAATAATAATAGCTTCGATTTATATAGCGCCTTTCAGGGGACCCAAGGTCGCTTCACAAGTAATAGTGCAAAGACAAACATAACAAAACAAAAGACAGACAAACAGAACAACAGATCGATTTAGGGGCCGAAAGCCTTGGCAAACAGATGGGACTTGAGGGCCCTTTTGAAGGCGTCGAGTGTGGGGATGTTGCGTATCTCCGCAGGGAGAGCGTTCCAGAGGGTGGGGGCTGCCACACTGAAGGCTCTGTCCCCGTAGGTTCGCAGTTTGGTGCGGGGGTGGTAAGCAGGCCAGAGTCTGAGGACCGCAGGTTCCGGGGTGGGGCATGTGGGTGAAGGATGTCCGATAGGTACTGGGGGGCAAGGGCATGGAGGGACTTGTAGGTAAGGAGGAGGATTTTGTAGCATATGCGGGACTTGACCGGCAACCAGTGCAGGTGGATGAGGGTGGGAGTGATGTGCTGCCACGGTTTTGTGTGCGTGAGTACCCTAGCAGCACAGTTGCCGAACGGCGAGCAGCACTGCAGCGGTCGGTAAATGCCGCTGAATCACATTTAATAAACAATGAACTACGGCACTCTGGAGAAAAGTATAAAGGTTGAGAAGTCGTTATTTAATTTAATCTGGCTTTGTGTGATTAAAAGCAACACGATCATCGACCCGACGCCGGCCCGTTGGGGAGAAAATCAGCGACGTAAACGGTGACGTCATGACGCAGCAGCAGCCGGGCTCTGGGCGGTGTGAACAAAACGTTTCCTTGATGCTTTGAGCACGAGGAAAAATGTGTTTTACCAGAAATATGTTTGCGATGAAGCTTCGTGTTCATGTGAGCCGTGCTCAACACTTCACTCAATCATTGAACACCTTTCTTCGCTCGGTTTCCTCTCACAGTTGCTGGTCTCTGCCACCAGTTGACAAACGCCCTCGTAGAGCGGAAACAGGTGAGTGTTGGTCTTTGGTGTATTCTTTAATGATTTAGCTTTCCATGATCGTTGCTACCCCGTGTCTCTGCCCATTATAGTGGCTGTTTATCCAATGCACCAGGTTCCTAGTCCAATTAGTCTGCATGGCATCTTAGCTCTAATGCCCAACAAATCCAAAGCTTTAGTCAAGTCGCATTGTACTCACGGGAGGCAGGTAAAACTTAAATGAGGGTTTATTTGAAGTGTCTAACAGCGTCATGGCATCACATGTCACTTGTTAGACGCTTTTATCCAAAGCGACTTACATACTCAATACTGTGGGCAATCCCCACAGGAGCACTTTGGGGAGAAGTGTCTCAGGGACACAACGACATGCTGACTGCAGTGGGACTCGAACTTGCTACCCCCTGATTCTAAGTTCAGCACACTCTCCACTGAGCCACAGCCACCCATGGCAGGTTATTTCATCCAAATGATATCTCACTCGGTCCACTATGCACTTTCAATACTGTATGCTATAAATTAGCATTAAATAACTAAACCACCATTACAAGGTCATCATCTTGTTGGGATCCAAGCTTTTAGATCTCCAGCATCTTACTCGCTTAACATAGTTTTAAAAGTCTATTACGACACCATCACCTGTCGTGAATAAGGAAATTAAGCATTGAATAATAGAATAATAGCAAACGGAAACATAACCTTAGCACAGTCCACGTATATACATATTTACAATGATAGAGGTATTCATATAAATGGTGTTCAACAGCTACCTAACTTGTCATTTAAACATTTTTCTTGGACATAAATAAGTGCTTAAGTGGCTCTAATGGAGCATTTCCACTGCAGGGCCTCGTGCGGCCTCGTTAGGCCAGGCTCCCTTTATGCTGCGTTTCCATTACAGTTCAGTAGCTGGGGTAGTAACTATAGTAACGCAGCGTAGGCGGAGCCGTGACATCATCTTCAATGCGAACCACACAGCCGTTAGCTGTTAGCCCTCAGAGCTCACAGCTCCTCATATCTGTTCAGAAACTAGACAAAAGTTAAACAAGTACAAACCACAGACTGTCTGTGTCATGGCGAATACAGTCGCTGGTTTATGTCTGTAGGCCGTTGTTGTGAGTGTGGACGGTCGGAGCATAGACTGCGTTAGCTTAGCCGATCTCCATTCAGAAAACACACATTTTAAAAGGTTTTTCGCCTGCCGTCTGTCTGCAGACTCGTCAAAGCATTAATTATGTTGTTACTTCGGCATCATTTAGAAACGTGTATTACAATTTAATCACGGTCAAATATCTTCATTGTGTTGTAGTTGGAGCCCCCTTGCCGTCACTAGTTTAGCAGACTCAGCCCGGTTGTTGGCCCAGAAAGAACCACGATTTTGGAGGCCCAGAAAAACTGAAAAAGTACCCGTTAGCCGGAACTAGCCCGAGTGGAAACGCAACCAAAAACGGGCCGGGTTTGGCACGGCACGCTTAAACCGTGCTACACACTGCAGTGGAAATGCGCCATTACACTGATTATCTTAAAGGACACCACACCAGCTCTTCTGCTTTGGTGGATCTGTTGAATTACATGCACAAGTTATTTCCCCAGGGAGAATAAAAAAACATTTAAATTGAATGTTCCACATTCGTCCCAATTGAGTTATCCAGCTGCTTTCACACGGCTGAGTCTCGCCTTCCAACAGTTCCATGTTTTCCTTTTGCTTCTCAATCTATATATTTCATGCATCTTAAATCGGGGGGGGGGGGCCCAGACTGTCTTCCTTGTGTTTGGACGTCTCTGCTGAATAACTAACTGGTGGTTTCCTCCTCTTCCTCCTCTTCCTCCTCTTCCTCCTCTGACAGCCATTGAGGGGTGTTGTCGTCCTAAAACAGGCAATAGACAAAATGCAGATGAACACAAACCAACTTACCTCAGTTCATGCAGACCTGTGTCAGGTGAGTCTCCTTCATGCTGGGGGCCTTAATGTGTTTAGGATTTAGCAGTTTTCTACTAGATTTGTATTTATTTATTTGTATTGACAATCTTAGTTTCACTTCTTATGTTAATATAAATATTACAATGTTTTATTGAAAAATTATTATTCTGTTTTTTTCCCAAATATTTTTAGATTATTTTTTTTTTTATTGAATATCTTTACTTAAACTTCTTATGTTTAAATTCATATTTTCAATTTTGTAAATATATTTGATTTAATTCATACTAAAATGTCCAACTCTCACGAAACCCTGGAATTAAAACAGCGTCTTAATTCTGATTTAAAGACTTAATATGTAACATTTCTGCATTAAAGGTAAAGAAATGACTAACCCTATGTTATGTAATTAGTTTAGTTGTATACTTACACAATCCCAAAAACAATTTGGGCATTTAATTTTGCTACCGTTTATGATCTACATCCAACATCCACGTTATCCTAGTTATCTTGACTCTTTTCCATCTCCTATTTGTTCCTACTTTGCCATTTAAAGACTGTTAAATAATGAAACCCAGTCTTATTCCCAGCCCAGTGTCTCTCCAGTTTGACCTAAACATCGTCCTCTCATTACTCCGTCTCCTCACAGCTGTGCTTGTTAGCGAAGTGCTTCAAGCCCGCGCTGCCGTTCTTGGAGTTGGACATGATGGACATCTGTAAGGAGAACGGAGCGTACGACGCTAAGCACTTTTTATGTTACTACTACTACGGTGGCATGATCTACACGGGCCTCAAAAACTTCGAAAGAGCACTGTATTTTTATGAACAGGTACTCACACGCCCATAAAACACTCAAAAATGTACTTTGAATATGTCATGTACTTATTTAAGCCCTGATTGTGTCATATAATCAACATTTTCTCTTGTGTACAGGTAGATAATCACGTGTTTTCACTTTCTCAGGCAATAACCACTCCAGCCATGGCAGTGAGCCACATCATGTTGGAAGCCTATAAGAAATACATCCTGGTGTCGCTCATTCTCCACGGCAAAGTGCAGCCACTGCCCAAATACACCTCTCAGATCGTGGGGAGGTTCATCAAGGTGAGGACTAACAAACTCACGCAAGCAACATTGTGTGCGATCAAAGAGTGGTGCGGGAATGCGTCCTGACATCTGGAACTGAGTCAGCATTTCGGTTGCCGCGGGAAATGGAAGTTTTGTCGAAGGAGCCGTTGCAATGCTTACTTCCAGGTTGTCCTGCACCGTTCTGTGTTGTTGAACTTAGCTGCGTTCTAATGACTTCAACACAGTTTCCCCGAGGGCTGCAATTCATCGTATTTTAATCGCAATTACGATGTTGGCCTGCCACAATTACGAAAACAACATCGAAAAAAACGATTATTTTGCTTTGCTAGGTTGTGACGAGGCAAGGCAAGGCTAGGCAAGGCAAGGCAAGGCAAGGCTAGGCAAGGCAAGGCAAGGCAAGGCAAGGCAAGGCAAGGCAAGGCAAGGCTAGGCAAGGCTAGGCTAGGCTAGGCAAGGCAAGGCAAGGCAAGGCAAGGCAAGGCAAGGCTAGGCTAGGCAAGGCTAGGCTAGGCAAGGCAAGGCTAGGCAAGGCAAGGCAAGGCAAGGCAAGGCAAGGCAAGGCAAGGCAAGGCAAGGCTAGGCAAGGCTAGGCTAGGCAAGGCAAGGCAAGGCAAGGCAAGGCAAGGCTAGGCTAGGCAAGGCAAGGCTAGGCAAGGCAAGGCTAGGCAAGGCAAGGCAAGGCAAGGCAAGGCAAGGCAAGGCAAGGCAAGTGCAAGGCTAGGCAAGGCAAGGCTAGGCTAGGCAAGGCTAGGCAGGCTAGGCTAGCAAGGCTAGGCAAGGCAAGGCAAGGCAAGGCTAGGCAAGGCAAGGCTAGGCAAGGCAAGGCAAGGCTAGGCAAGGCAAGGCTAGGCTAGGCAAGGCAAGGCAAGGCAAGGCAAGGCAAGGCTAGGCAAGGCAAGGCAAAGTGCTTTACAAAAAACGAAAGACATTAAGAAAATATTTGATCTAATTTATTTTAGTGTAATTTATATTTATAGATGTTTAGTACTGGAAGTGCGCTCCAACATATTTGTTGGTCTTGTTTATTGGTATTTATTATTTATTTAAATGTATCATTTATTTTGGTATTGGTTTTCAGTTGAATTATACGTTCAGGGTAATCAACAGTTAAAAAGATACTGTTCAAATTATTATTTGTTTTAAAGTTCAATAAACGGATGTTTTCAAATAATCGTATTTAATAATCGTGATATCAATTTTTGACCAAAATTATCGTGATTAGGATTTTTGCCATAATCGAGCCCTAGTTTCCCAATTCTAGGGGTTTCTTATATGTTAACTGCAGTGTGCCCACATTGTGGGAAACTAGTATAGATATTCTCCGTGTTGTGCCGTGAAGTAATCTGTTTCTCTGTGTCCTCTCCCTTTAGCCCCTGAGCAATGCATACCACGAGTTAGCTCAGGTTTACACCACCAACAACCCGGCGGAGCTGCGCGGCGTCGTCAACAAACACAGCGAGCAATTCACACGAGACAGCAACACGGGGCTGGTGAAGCAGTGCCTCTCCTCTCTCTACAAGAAGAACATCCAGAGGCTAACCAAGGTTATACATTCTCCAAGGAAATAAGAGCGTCTCGTCTTTGCTTCTTCACGGGGCGACGCTTTGGAGGAGACATTTGGAAATGTGTAGCTTAAACGAGACCTCCTAAAGTCAGTTTGTAAAGCTAATTGAAACTCATCGGTTTCATTCTCAGCTTGAGCTGGGTTACATTATTTAACATATACACGATGTCTTCATCATGACTTGAGAGGAGACGTATTTGAGTGTTTTTATAACCTTAATATCCTGGATTTGATGCAGACGCTTTGAATCAATCTTAAATCATTCAAATCCAAAGATACAGCGAAGCTTAAAGTAA